CAATGAAGACCTGCCTGACAGCAATCCCTAGATACCCTGGAAAAGAAAATGGGCCACACCTCCTCGACTGCACTGGATCCAACTTGCTCATTTCAACTGGCACTCTGGCCAGAGGTTCGGGTACTGACTTCAATCAAGTTGAGGATTTCAATAGAGATCTTCAATCAAGTGAATCCCTTCTAACTTGGACTGGATACAATCCATTCAAGACTTTCACTATACTAATATTTTCTTTCTATTGGACCCCACAAGGCTATCATCATCCCATTTCAGCAGGAAGTAACTTGGAGAATGCTATGCTCCCTTTCCCCATTGTTGTCATTTAGGATAGTGTATATACCTAGTTAGGGATAGCTTCTTATCGTTCATGGTTAGGATTGGAAAGAGGTGTTCAAGCTTGGACACCTCTTTCAGATGACTTTAGGATCTAGTTAAAATAGTTAGGATGTGACATAAGCATATTGTTGTATCTTCTTATATTTCAGCTTTATGATTGTTAATTATGGATACTTTACACTGTTAAGTTTTAATCCTCTTTTAGACTAAAAGGGGAATTGTAGGGGAACCTGTAGCCATGCCTGCTTAGGGGCTGGCTACAGGTCTGCCTGACCACGCCTGCAGGGGCATGGTCAGGATGATGTAGAGTAAGAGTTTCAGTTGGCTGAGTTTTGCTTTCAGTTTCGTTTTGACCCCATTTGGCTTGTGTACAGACTGCTGCTGCACTGGTTGGCTAGGTCGTTCTGTAACTAAGGCTTTTCCCTATTAAATACCCTTATATTTCTACTTGGCTCCGTATTGGTAATTTCCCACTATACAAAGTACCTCATGTTCTAAAAGGCCAGGAATGACAACCTAGACTACTGTACTCAGAAAACTACCTGCCACAGTTGAAAGAAAAAGAAAAACTTCCCATGACATGAACAGCCTTAAAATAAATAATAGTAATTGTCCACCAAACCAACCCTAAAGAGAATACTTTGAATTGATAAGGGGAAGAGACCATAGTCAATCATTCTAACAAACAAAGTGAATGAAGCTATAACTGATGAAATACAGTGTACAGTTAAGCACATTGTTTTAGTTGCTGTTCTACTGCTGTGAAGAGATACCATGCCAAGGCAACTCTAATAGGAGACAGCATTTAATTAGGGCTGGCTTAGAGTTTCACAGATTTTGTCCATTATCCACTTCTTGTGATGGGAAGTATAGAAGTACTTAGGGAGACATGGTGCTGGAGACTGGAAGAGATCTACATGTGGACTCACTGGCAGCAAGTAGACAGGGAGAAACTGGGTATGGTTTGGGCCTTTGAATCCTCAGAGCCCACACCCAGTGACCAACAACAGTTCCAATAAGGCAACATCTCCTAATCCTTTTCAAATAATTCAAGTAATGTCATTCACTGATGACTAAGCATTCAAATGTAAGAGCCTGTGAAGGTAAATCTTATTCAAATTGCCACAAACATAACCAGCAAAAACTGCAATCAACACATACATTTTTTAATTATATTTTTTATTTTAGAGGTACTCATATTTACATATCCATCCCCCCCATTCCCTAGCACTCCCATCCTCCCATGTTCCCCACCAAACCTTCCAACCTACCTCCCACCTCCTCCCCAGGGATAGTAAGGCCCTCTATGGGGGTGACTGTCAAAGTCTGTCATATCATTTGTGGAAGGGCCTAGGCTCTCCTTGCTGTTTCTGGGCTGCAATAGTATCCCTCCATAGGGAAGGGGCTCCCAAAGCCCATTTGTGCTCTAGGGATAAACACTGGCTCCACTGTTAGAGGTCCCATAGACTGTCTTGGACTCCTAGCTGGCACCCCCATCTAGAGGGCTTGGTTTGAACCAATGCTGGTTCCCCAGCTTTACGACTAGGGCGTCCGTGCTCTTACTAGGTCAGGACAACTGTGTCTTTGGGTTTCTCCTGGCTCCTTTGCTCATTCCTCCTCCCTCTCTGCAACTGGATTCCAGGAGTATGGTTCAGTGCTTAATTGTGGGTGATTGTTTCTGCTTGGATCAGCTACTGGATGAAGGCTCTATGAATGGTAACCAATGTAGTCATCAATCTCATTATAGAGGAAGGTCATCAAAGGCTTCCTCTCCACCATTGCCTAAATTCTTAGTTGGGTACCCTAACAATTCCCCTGTGCCAGACCTTTCTCCAAATTTGTACTGTCTCCCTCTATCAAGGCATCTCCTTTATTGCCCTCCTATATTCCTCCCCTGTCTCAGTCCTTTTTTCTCCTCCCCCTCCCTTTCTCCCCTCCACACCTCCTTCTGCTCCCTGCCACCCTGCTCCCAATTTGCTCAGAGATTCTTGTCCCTCTCCCCTACTCTGAGGGACTATGCATTCTTCTCTTGGGGTCCTCCTTGTTTCCTTTCTCCTCTGGCAGTCAACACATATTTTTAAAAATAGTAACATTGACTATTATGTCCTCAGCACTCAAACAAATGTTATAGGCTAATGGAATTAAGAGTCAAAATCCAACTTTATATTGTCTACAAGAAAAGCACCTGATATTTAGAATTAGTTATGACCTGAAAATGAAAGGATAGAAAAAACCCTATCATCAGATGGTATAAGGAAGCACACAGGCATTGGTATCTTAATACGGATGAAAAACATTTAATTCTATTCAACTACCTATCATGTATTTTATGATACAAATGCACAATATTCATGTATATAAGCTCTTACTTTCAAAGCAGACAAACGCAAATGTTACCTGAACAGAAAAATAAAAGATATTTATATTGAAAGGTGTCAGTGAACCATATATTCCAGAAGGAAATGGCTTAATATTTTCCACATGACAGCAAAAGTTTTAAAGTTACAGAATCCAGTGTCCTTTGGATTTAATGTCATGCAATATACTGATCTCCTTTATTCAATGTCTCCACTCTCACCAGATCCTAGAGCAACTGCACTGGCAGAAAATATGTCATAGGAAGCTATACTAATACAAATTCATAAAACCAATTTGCAAATATGCTATTCTCCACTGATGAAATTCTAAGAAAGTTGATTATAAGAGCAGTGTAATGAGATTGTTTCATTCTTATTAATGCACTGTTTTTGTTATTGAAAGTAAAAATATAAAAGATGTATCAAGCCATTTAATTGTTATGACTTTTACTCAATTTTGCAGAATAGAAGTTGAAACAAGTATCCCTAATGACTGTACCATGAAAAAAAAAAGCATTCATGCTTTTGAATTATGGTCACTGAAAGTTTTTAGAAATCAAAAATTTATGCATGTTAAATATTTAAAGGGAAACTGCACATTTAAAAATCCTTTAGTTCCCTCTAGAAATTCAAATAAATTGAAAGATAATCAAACAACAAAATAAGCAATTATGTAGAAATACTACTGTGTGCATGAAAAGTGAATTTCAGGGATGATTTTTCATTTTGAATAGCAAATAAAAATAATTCCAGAAACAAAGAACCACATTTCAAAATAAATTAAATTTAATCAAAGATGGGGTCAAACTATGTGTTAGTGTGGGCCTTTAATACTAGCACTTGCAAGGCAGAAGTTGGTGGAAGAGTAGGCCCTCAAGGCCAGACTGGTCTACATAACAAAATCTAGGCCAGCTCAGGCAAAATAGTAAGAGCGTATCTCAAAGAAACAGAAATAGTGTATGTATGCATATATATTGAAACATCTGTACCCTACAGATTTTAGTAGCAAGATACAACACAGTAAAGTAGAAAAAGACTTTTCAAATAAGTTTTAAGTTGCAAAGTTATTTCAGAAATGAAGATCTACTGATAATAAAATACTCTTACTATACCTGATTGAAAACTTCACTAAGTAAGCGGGGCATATATCAAACAAGCAAGTGTTTTGTAATTTCTGCTTGATTTCTGAGTGAAATAAATATAAAAAACTTCAGAGGGAAATACAGAGTTGTGGAGCCCAGTGTCAATGGTTACATTTACAAAACAACTTCCACACCTAAAGCTCTGGGAACATTGTGGTGGTCAGTGTTGAAAATATGCATACAAATAGTATCATACACACAGAGCAGGTTACGTATAGTAACACACACACAGACACACACACACACACACACACACACACACACACACACACACACACACATACGTAACAACAACTAATGAAAATGGAGTCTATGAATATTCTAGGAGCAAAGAGGAGTAAGGGGGTGGTTGGAGGGAAGAAAGGAAAAGATGTATGTATATTACAATCTTACATATTAAAGGAAAAATTATTTACTTTGGTTTTGCTTTTTTAGTTTCCAAAGTCTTAAAAAGTCATGCTATGAGTTCCTTATTAAAAAAAAAAAAAAACCAATGTTTTTTAGTTGGGTAATTTTCTTTTCAATGCATTTCTTTAAACTGAACTCTATTGAGGGTAGGGATATGATTCTGATATTAAAAGCATTTGTTCTTGCAAAGGACTTCGGTTCAGTTGACAGCACACAGATGGCAGCTCACAAGAATTCTGTAACTCTGGTCTGGGTCATCTGACAACATATATATATATATATAGAGAGAGAGAGAGAGAGAGAGAGAGAAAGACACCGAGAGAGAAAGACAGAGAGACAGAGAGACAAAACACTCATACCGATAAATATAGACTAAATTAGTCTAAAAGCTTCAACATGACTTTATTATTAGTTTCACTTTAAAATAAAATTTTAACATTATTTTCATTAAAACATTAAAATCATTTTAAGAAATATGAAGTAAAATTCAAATTCATTGCTCACACTTTCCAATTCTTTTATTAAGTAGCTATCTTAAAGCATTTTATTTATCCATCTACAATCTATTCCACAACACAGGACCTCACACACTCATATCCAGAATTAGTTTTATTCTCAAAAGGGTTATTTTCCTGTTTTATAAGGTAAATCATGGAGTAGAGAAATGGCTTAGTTGGTAAAGTGCTTGCCATGCAAGCATGAGGAATTGAATTCAGTCCCATCATGTATGCAAGAAGCTAGGCACAGAGGTGTGTACCTGTAATTCCAGAGCTGGGAAGACTGAGGCAGGAGGAAATCTGCTGTTTGTTGACCATCTGCAGGCTCAGTGAGAGGTCACATTTCAAAAAATGAGGTAGACAGAGATTTCAGAAGACATCTGCCATGCACATGTATCCAAAGAAAATGCAAATCATGTATGTGTATTACATCTTTGAATATTTAAACAAACATGTTATTAATTATAACGGTAATTTCCAAAAAAATGAGTCCATAGGATGTTATAAGAAATTGCAGCAACAGCCAAAAGAAATGGATGACATCACAGATTATTACAGAACAGTTTCTGTGTTAAGAATAAAGATAATGTATGGTTTATAGTAATACTCAAAGCCTAGCAGATAATATTATGACCGATCAACCAAAACCTAGTGAACTCATTTCATATTAAACCTAATATAGCAATTTTGCACTTTGAAATAAATTAATATTCCAAATGCCAGTATAACAATCTAGGTCTTATTACAATTCCATGAAGAAAAAACAGAATTAATTTTCTATTTCACATTGAATATGCATTCCTCAGTATTGTTAAAACACTCTGACTGTGTTTCTGTTTAATGTCTTCATTATTTTCAAACTTCACTAAAACATGTATTCAACCCTGAACAACATAGAGATTAGACAGATGATTGCATCCATCCCACATTGATTGTCCTGCATGAGAAACTTCTTCCTGGGCTGTCTAGAGTTTACTAGTTTATCAGTTCCTAATTACATTTCATGAAAATAGCTTTGTGCGATTTCTTTTAAAACCTGGGGAGAATACTTGACTACATTTACAAAATAAAAATCTACATAAAAAAATAAATTGTTTTTTGTTTTTGTTTTGTTTTTTGAGACTGGGTTTCTCTGTGTAGCTTTGGAGCCTATCCTGTCACTTGTTCTGGAGACCAGGCTGGCCTCGAACTCACAGAGATCCACCTGCCTCTGCCTCTCGAGCGCTGGGATTAAAGGTGTGCGCCACCAACACCCGGCAAAATAATAAATTGTATCTCATTTCAAAATTCAAATATTTTCAAAAGTCAAGACACAAGCAATCTCTTTTTTTCTACTTCCAGGTTTTTAATTGAATTTAAATACAATAAAGTCAGCTGTAAATTTCATTATTTAATTTATCAGAACATATAAAAAACTGAAACTTATCGAGATTTGAAATTATTTCTGTTGGTCAATCTTATATCTATTATTTTTTTCCTAATAAAAGTTGTATTAACTTCATGAGGAGTCCTACATGATGTTTTATTACAATGCAATTAAATTCTCAGTTCTATGACTTGGGACTTTATCTTAAATAACAACTGATGATTTATAGTAGAATGTTTTATTCTTTTTTATGTATGACCATAAGATAAGTTATGCTTTTGTCAATGATGTGAGATTGAAATTAACATAGATTGCTTCCAGCTTTGAGTTCTTTTAATTAAAAACATTGTATTTATTTTATTCTTTAATTACTACTCATATGTACATATCCATCCCCCATTCCCTCACCTTCCCATCCTCCCATGTTCCCCACCAACCCCCTCAACCCACCCCACCTCCTCCCTAGGGATAGTGAGGCCCTCCACAGGCTACTTTCATTGTCCATCATATCATCCGAGGGAGGGCCTTCGCCCTCCTTGCAGTATCTGAGCTAAAATAGTATCCCTCCATAGGAAATGGGCTCCCAAAGTCCACTTGTGTTCATTGTATATTTTAGTGATCAGCCCTCTGTCAGATTGTAAAAACATTTTAAATAAGATGTAATTTTTGTCACCATATCAAATATAGTGGGTTTTCTTTAGACAAGTGTGGCCACTGAATCCTTGAATTAAAACACAGTTATTAATGAGTGTCATTCAGTGTGATGTGTATCTAGAGCTTGATATGTCCAAGTTTAAGTAGTGAAGTTGTTAAGAAAATAAAAGTTGGACCCAGTTCAGAGGTGGCAGTTTCCGAACACCAAACACCCAGAGGCAGCCCAGCCTCCATCCGCCAGCCCAGGGAGGCCAGGAACTGTTTCCGGTTCCGGTTTGTCATCGATGCTCAGAGTCATCTGAGGCAAGCGAGCTTCATGCCAGACCCAATTTGTCGGTGGCAGGCTCTGAACACTGAACACCCAGAGGCAGCCCGGCCTCCATCCACCTACCCAGGTAGGCCAGGGTCTTTTTCTGGCTCCAGCTCATCATCACTGCTCAGAGTCATCTGACAAAAGCAACCTGCATGCCATACGGAGTTCAGCAGTGGGATCCAACACCCCGAGGCCCTGTGACAGCTCTGCCTCCAACTGCTGGCCTGGCAGGACCAGGCAACCCCAAAACACTGCCCACACCCAGGTAACAGTGACACCTCCATCCCCGAGAAGAGGACCGACATCAGAGTATTGGATCTGTTTGCATCTACCAGAAGGGAACCGTGGTCCCACACCCACCAGGGAGAAAAAGAAACACTTTTGAGAATAGGACAAGGTAAAAGCACATCCAACAACAGAAAACCCAATATGACACCACCGGAGACTAGGAACCATACACCAGTAAGACCTCAACATCATGATGCAGATGAACCAGAAGAGAATGACCTTAAAAACATCTTCAGGAAAATGATAAAGGACCTCAAAGAGGACAGGAGAAAATCCCTTAAAGAAATTGAAGACAATACAAACCAAAAAATACAAGAGACAGTTCAAGACCTAAAAACTGAAATAGAGGCAATAAAGAAAGCACAATCTGAGGAACTGCTGGAAATAGAAAAGCTGAGTAAACAATCAGGAACTACAGATGTGAGCATAACCAACAGAATACAAGAGACGGAAGAGAGAATCTCAGGAGTTGAAGTTACACTAGCAGAAATAGATTCATCAACCAAAGAAAATCTTAAGTCCAACAAATCTCTAACAGAAAATATGCAGGAAATATGGGATACTGTGAACCAAAGCTAAGAATAATAGGTATAGAAGAAGGTGAAGAAATCCAACTCAAAGGCGCAGAAAACATATTCAACAAAATCATAGAAGAAAACTTTCCTAACCTAAAGAAAGGCATGCCAACTCAAATACAAGAAGCCTACAGAACACCAAATAGACTGGACCGAAAGAAAAAAGGTCACCTTGCCACATAATAATCAAAGCAACAAGCATACACAACGAAGAGAAAATTTTAAGAGCAGCAAAGGGAAAAGGTCAAATAACCTATAAAGGCAAACCTATCAGAATCACACCTGA